GCCTAAGTCTTGCTCTCTTGGCAAGATTGGTTTCCCTTATGTCTTCGACTTGTGACTGGGTCGTCATCCCCGCTTAAAAATCCAGAATCCGACTTACGTCAGTCGCCGACGTCAGTCGTGACCGGATTTGTGACGTGTTTTCATCTGTGCTTTCGAAATTTTTAAGTCGATGCTGAAAAGTCCTGCGCAAAGCGATGCTTGAAAAGGAGTTGGGGGCCTCTAAGTCTTTGACTTTGTCCTCTAAGTCTTTGTCCCGCCCCTAAGTCTTCCACCCACCGATGACTGTTGCGCGACGAGACAGGTGGGCTTTGGTAATCAGTCCCACTGTTCCACACCACACACTACAAGCCCACCACCACCCTTGCATTGATCCTGACAGCTGGTACCTGACCAGGCACCTGTGTCAGAGATTGAGGTTGACTCATTGCAATGGATCCCCAGTTCAAAAGCTACCTGGCTGGTACCCTTTTGGATGCTTGGATTGGGTTCAAGCCCTGTGCAATCCTACAGCAACAGTACCAGCCTGAGTTTCTGTGGTGGTGGCCCTGGTCCTCCCATTCCAGGCTCTGCAGTGCAACACTATGAGGTCATAATCCCAATCCTGAAAGCTTCCAACCAAGCCTTCCCTGATTTGGACCACTGCATCCTCCCTCTTGTTGCCTTCCAGTTGCCTGCCTCCCAGTTGTTGCTTCCCTTCCAGTTGCTGCCCTGTTGTTGTGAGTCCTTGCTTTGTCCAGCTCCAGCCCCAGTTCTGTTTGCCTGGTGCCTTTGCTGCTGGTCCTCCCTTTATCCAGTTCCTGACTGTTTGTTGCCGCTCCCAAAAGCATTTTGCCGACAGTTCATTGATCATTGAATTGTCCCACCAACAACCTTCAACACTCCTTCCAGCACCATCCCAAGCCATGTCTGCTGACCTTCTAGTGCGTGGCAAGGCCCACGAGATCAAGTCTGTCTCCAAGGCTAGGCAGTCCGGGGAAGACTTAGGGGCCGATCAGTCGAAGACTTAAGGGCCGATCTGGTGTTGTTGTTGAAAATCGCGAAAAGAAAATTCGCGAAGATCAGATCGACCATGGCCCTGGAGTCGGGACGCATGGCGACAACAGCGGGAGAGTTGGGTGGGAGCACCAGTCGGTGACTCGCCGTTGGGGCTAGCGATCACCAGGTGGTGAACGCATCATGGCAATGGCTAGAGAAGCCGAGATTGGGTGGGAGCACCAGTCGGTGACTCGCCATTTGTGGCTAGCGAAGCACCAGGTGGTGAACGCATCAGGGCCATCGTGTGGAAAAAGCACACGACCATCGTGTGGAAACAGCACACGGAAAAGCACACGACCATCGTGTGGAGAAGCACACGAAAGGATCGATCGGTCATCGTGAAAAGCACACGAAAGGACCGGAAAGATCGATCGTTCAACCAATAACAAGGCTCCAGAGACCGGAACAGCATGGCTGTGACCGGCTGATAGTAGCCGTGGTAGCCATAGCAATGGCTGAACGTAGCTAGTAGCCGTAGCCGTTCAGGAAAGAAAAGAAAAGGACGCCATTGTCCTCTTCGATTGGTGGCTACATGCAATGTGTGGCTTGGATTGGCTCCTACCGACTGATCATCCCCTTGAAAACCCTAACTCTATCTACGGTGACGTACCAGTCCAGGCAGGAGCAAGTGTGCTTCCACATTGCTCTGCTTAGAGTCATGGCGATAGCTGTCACTGTTCTTTCGGCCTCGAGCTGCAAAAATCAAGAATCAAGAATGATTCTTTATATGTAACCGAAACCCAAGACCCTAAACGAGCTGCTTTTCGTGAACGTCACTCCAGCTGGTTCTCTGGGTTCTTTGCAACTTGCTGTTGCGGAGTAATCGGACATTTCTTGTTGAAAGAACTGACATGTCGCAGTCGCAAAATCCTGAAGTTGGGGCTTCTCGCTCAAGAAAATAACAAATACTACTAAATAGCGAGGGCGGCTAAGCTAGCTAGGCAGAGCAGTACAGTCTACTCGCGCTAATATTACTTATTTAATATTACTTCTCGCTGTTATATTACCTGATTCTTCGGATCCCCCCCCCAGTCCCGCATATCCGTGAATGCCTCATTTGCCGAAGCTGAAGAAGCACTCAACAAGCTCTCCAAGAGTGCCTCTGCTTTGGGCATCAACCAGGCGGCCGCTGTGCATCTTGACAGGTTTGCCAGGGCATTGAATGTGGCTAGGGCTGCTAGGGCGGGCAAGCGTAAACGTGACGGCTCTATCCATTCGTACTTTACTAGTGGAACCGGCCCTTGAAAAGCCTAATATTACTTCTCTCTATTATATTACCCGAAGTCCGAAATCCCCCCCAAGTAATATTAGAGCGAGTTGACTGTAGCTGCGGTGGTGGCCCGGTGGCTGTGGTGGTGGGCTTCTCGCTCATGGTGGCAACTCAATTGGTCTTTGATCACATGCGACTGACTCCTTCAAAGCGCCAAAGCCCTTTAACTCTCATTCAGTTGTGGCTTCACTTGACTTTCTCTTTTTTTGCATCACCCGTGCTGTGTTTCCTTGTTTATTCATACTGAAAAGGCAACCATGATGGACGAAGATGCCACCTTTCAAGTGCCACAGGCTCAGTGGCAGCTCCAACAGGCATTGAACAATGGGGAAAGGATGGACGATGAGCCGGAACGGATGGATGAAGATGAAGGAAGGGAATGGCCCTACGATGAGCGTGCTACTGCCAGAAGTAATTCTTCCAGCCCAACCGGTGGTGCCTGGCATGCCATTACCAGTTTCTGGGGAGGAGGTTTTCAGCAGCAGCCCCAATCTGGAAGAAGTAGCCCTCATAACAATGGCGAGAGGGTAGATATGGGTGATGATTGCCGTGAAGAAGAAGTGGTCATGGAACGCGAGGGCTGTGATCCCTATGACTCTCGCATTCATGAACCACTAAAGCGCGGGCAAGAGGATGGAGAACAAGCCAACAAGAGACGCCGTTTGGAGGATGCCAGTATCGCCTTTTACCAGGCTACCCCCGGGCTTTCCGAACGCCAACAGGCCATTTTGGAATACTCAGCACCTTCTACCGTTACTCCCTTGTTCTACTTTATCGGATACACTCCCTTTGCCATTACGTGGGGTATGGTCTTGTACACGGGTCACTCCTTGCAGACGGCGATTTCTACCTTTGGACCCGAGACTGAAAACTTGCGCTGGAAGGCATGGATCCCACCTCTTATCCACCATTTGATCGATACCTACGTGTGGAATCATTCCTTGATTACCATGATGCTCTTGTACCCAGAGTGGTTTGGTTCTACGGCTTACTGGTGTGCCGTCTCTTTCATCACGTGTTCGCAGTGCTTGTACTTGTGCGTCTCCCTCAAGACGCACTACATCAAGCACAAGCACAAGTTGAAAACAAACTCCTACCGACAAATTGAGCTACGGTTCATCGACTGCTTCTTGCTCTACTTGTTGGCCGTCATCAACTTTATTCTGGCCCGACTTCTTGGATACCCGATCCTCTTGTACATTGGATTGATCGAATTCAATGTAGCCCCACTTTACATTGTGTGGGCATACAAGAAACGGTTTGATGCTGCCCTCAAACCAGTAAACCAATGGGATGGACAGAAGGACGACAAAGAGGACACCAAGAAGAACGACCACACCAAGAAGGACAAATAAGTGAGCGATGGCGTCTTTTTTTTTAAAAAAAAGCTCTTCTGGGTACCGGTACATCATGGTGGGGAGTTGAGGTCAAACTTCACAGCCACCTGAGCCATCCTCAACGAATTCTTAAATTAGACAGTAGTCTACTGCTCCTGCTAGAGTACATTTTCACCTCAATCGCTCTAGAGTAGATATATGACATCATGATCGCAGTCAGATTAAGATTGGTGATGTTCATGGAACACGGAACAGAGCACAACGCAACACAGAACCGTCGCTCGAATCTTGTGTCAGGTATTTCCTTAAAAAGCATTGAACAATCTCTGAAGGTTACACGTATCCTCAACCAAGCCGTAAGCCCCTCGTCAACTAATAATCTATTAATTAAAATAGTTGCAGTTGATTTGCAGAAACTGACCGCGTTTGGAACGCTGACCATTCCCAAGGCCCCAGATTCTCCGCACTGTGGAGTATCTATCTGTTTGGTGCATACTGCTATGAAGAGATACATGTAGATATCATTGTTACCGGTATGTCTGTATAGTGGAGTGGATGTCGGGGACTGGGATGATACGGGAACCGGATAGCCACCCGCAAGGTCGAAAGCTGCACGACGGCAAGTGAGAGTGCGTGACCTTTGAAATTGAATCTGTTCCGTGAGTGAATAGTTTCATTTAGCTATCTGCACTATCGATTTTTAGAGTACCTCACGGACCTCACAACTAGAAACATTAATGCTTTTCCTTGGTACCGTACAAGTACGTCGTGCAGCAAGTGTGACAGGAATGATCGTGTGGGCATGCTGTTTGCATGCATGCCTTTCTTGCCGCTGTGCGACTGAAAACTACAGGGAATACTGGACAATATACCCAATCATCGTTCGAGGGGTCTGTGCTGTCTTCATTGCGGTTCGAGACGTCGAGGAGGCAGACTACAGGGACTTGTACGGCACAGGTTCACGCTTTTGCAAGATCTGGCTAAGAGTGGCATGAGCGAGAGTGTGATCATGCTCACAATTGAAAATTGAACAAACAAACGACTCTCAACGAAACAGCAAATCGAAGAAAACAATTCAAACAATCAATCTTACAACAACAACATGGTTTCCAGCGAGCATCGAGACTGGCTCTATGTCGCCATCCCAATCTACTTTGTGATGTTGGCTGGTAGCGCAGCATGGGCCTACAAACGAATGGAAAGGATGAACCACGAAGGGGTCAGTGATAAGCTCTCAAGTCACTACCTCGGTGGAAGATCGTTCGGGCCTCTGCTGACCGCGGGAACTGTATTTGCCAGTCTCTTTAGCGGGTACACAGTGGTCGGCATCCCCAACGAAGCGTACAAACTTGGTTGGTACGCTATTCGATGGATGCCAACAACAGCACTCATTGCCTTCGGATACTATGGGACAGGGCTCCGGTTACGAAGGGCGAGCATGGTGCGCAACCACCAATCCCCAGTTGACATGATCACTGATAGATACCAATCTCAGGTTCTCCGATACACCATCGTTGGCATTCAGGTGATGACGTCTGTTATCTATTTGGCTGCGCAAGTGATTGCCCTCAAGGGAACCTTCAACTCAATGTTCGAAATCGAAGCTGACGCCAACTGGCCCGTCATCCTTATCATGTCCCTCATTCTGGTGTTTGAATGGGTTGGCGGATTGTCCAGCGTTGCTTTCACAGACAGTATCCAAGGCTTGATTATGCTGATTAGCTTTATCATTTTGCCGATTGTCATCAAGGCGAACTTTGGCGGTTGGAGTGACTTGGATCCTGAGACTTACCCAAAGCCAAGTTTCTACGAGACTCCTTCGGCTGATCAACAATGGAAGTTCTGGCAGTTTAGTATGATCAACTTCTCCTTCTTCACCCTTCCTCACTTCCTCCAACGAACCTACGCTGCAAAGGACTTGGTATCGCTCAAGTGCGCCTACTCGGTTGTCGTCGTGGGACCCTGGATTACCATGTTTGTCGGAATCTACATTGGTACCGTTGGCGTCCAAATGCTCGACGGCGCGGATGTCGCAAGCCCCTTTGCTTCTATCCTCGAAGAAGTTATGAATCTGGGAGGCTTCAGCAAATTCATTGCTGTGATCGCTTTTACAGCATCGCTCGCTGCCATTATGAGTAAGAAGAAGCAATGCAGCGGAAACATCGTTTGATTGCATGGCCCCTCCAGCTCGTACTAAACCTTCTTCTTCCTTTCCTCTCTTGGCAGGCACCGCTGACTCTCTCATCATCGCCGTTTCCCAGCTGGTTACCGTCGAAGTTCTATACCCCATGGTTAAAACCAAGAGCCCCAACACCCTTGCCTGGATGGGACGTTTCGTCTCTTTTATGGCTGTTCTCGTAGCCTTGCTTGTCGGGTAAGTGAGGTCATGGGTTGTATCATTCCGGCGTACCTTGCATCCGAGACTCGACTCACATTTCCCCTTGTTGTACCTTTTACTTCGCAGAATCCTGTGGAAATCAGGCATTAGCGACTTGGGAGCCATTCAATTTCCAATTACCATGCAGGCTGTCCCCGCCTTTTTGTTTGCTCTCTTTGCGACGAACAAATCTACAGACGTCCACCCCTGGTGCATGGCTGCTTCCGCTTGGATCGCGATTGCCTACGTATTTGGGATCTACTTTGGATACCTCAGCAACCATGAAGACCCTGCTCCTATCGACGCAGGCGTCACCGGAGTCACAATTCAAGTCGTATCCCTTGTTCTCTTGGAATCCGCTCGTCGCGTCATCTTCCCAGACCCGTACGAAGCCGAAACCACCAAGCCGCTCCACACTTCCGACACCAAAGACGAGCCACAGCTGTTGTACCCCAACCGACCCGCCTTTGATATCCCCTGCACGAAGCGATTCGGTGACCGCCCTCTTACCCCCAAAGACCTCTGGCAAATGATGGAAGGCGTACACGAACCCATCACGAACGTCTACTTTGTGGCTTTCATGTTGTTCAGCGTTTCTTTGGTAACTCCGCTGGTGCCTGCTGGCATTCCTACGTCATCCACTGAAGATGCCGTCGTGGTAAATGGTTTGCCGTGGTGGGCCTTCAAGGCTTTGTTGTTGTGCATTGTGCCGTATGCCATGAGTCTATATGCCGTTCTCCGCATGCCCAACAAATTTCCCTCCTTGGCTGAGGACAGTGTGTTGGAGCAACCCGGCTTGATCATCGATCCGGACCTCGTGGACATGTCCAATGAAGAAATGGGTCGACGCGGCTCCTACGATGAACCCAACACAATGGCATCGCAGCGACGTAGCTCAATTCGAAAGAGTCTTCAAGGACTAGGAATGGTTGGGAGCCACGAGATGCGCCACTCCTCACGCCATTTGCCTTCAAACGATAGCGTCAAACACCTTCACAAGCTCGTTCAAGACGACGAGACAGAAAGCAGCCATTTCGACCAACGGAACGACGAAGTGGCCGTCTTGTACAAAGACACCGATATCACAGCTTAGCCGCTTAGAACATCGAAGCACTCAACTATAGTACTATTTCAGAAGCTCCTCACCCAGTAACAATAGAGAAATTCATGCCTGCAAGTTTGATACGTGGAAATCACGTACTATAGAACTGAATGCCCCGTCGCAGATCACAACACTATACATGTATAACCTGCGTATGAAGAAAGCTGCAGAGCGAGGCCATCAGCGACTACCTGAAAGTCATAATGGTAAAACAGTTCCATGGCACAGGTCCAGAAACTTCTTCGCATGTGCACTCATCGTGGGCTTGACAATCAAGCTTGACTCTAGCATTGCGATTATCAGCACGGATCACAGCTGCATCCACAAAGTAAGGCGCCTTGACACACATTCGTCTGGGTGATTTTGCTTGTACAGCCATGAGCTTCATGGCATTCCCTTTCATAACCACGCATCATGCCACACAGCACATTAGGGATGCTCCCAGACAAGGATGTATTGGCAACAATCAATGTACTCAATTGGGTCAAGGAAAGGAGCTCTATGGGTAGAGTTCCAGACAAGCCTGTGTCATGCAGTTGCAACTCCAAAAGCTGGTAGAACTCCGCTCAGTTCAGTGGGTGAAAATCTTTAACAGTTGGCCATGTAGCCGGTCACCGCCGCGGGCCTACTTTAAAGGTTCATTTTACCCTCAACTTTCGCTGTTGCCTGTGCGGCTGCGATCGTTGTGCTAGTCTGCCCAGCTGAGCCCCCCCCCCCCCCGCTCCTTAACTCATCTAGTTAGAACTATTTTGATGATAGATGTACAGCTACAGGTGACTGATCCAAAGCAATTGAACTTGGGCAAGGAGACACCAGCGACACCGCACTAGAAATGCCTTACCCCAAGCACTGAGCGTAGATCCGCAACAACTCGCACTGGTAGGGGCACGGGTTTCTCGGCGATCATGCCTCCCCGTCTTCACCCTGCTGCTCGCTTATTTTGTTCCACTACATCAAGCTATATACTACAGTAGAGAATCATTGATCATACACACATACCTGTGATAAACCATGTACTAGCACATGGTTACGTTACGTTAGAGTTCCCCGGTACAACGCACTTCGTTTGCTTGGCTTCCGCTGTGGAAGGACTGGCGAAAAATGAAATCTTTCAAAGCCGCTCCTCCACAGCAAACGGCTCAAAGCGCCAGCCATAGAATGTTTGGAAGGAAGGACTCTTCGGGATTCTGGGGAGGCCTGACAGCCTGGAAGGCATGGGCTCATCAAGGATGAAATGTGCACTCCTTGTGGGCTTTTAAAAGTGTGTCTCTAGCATCGTTTTCATTAGCATGGATCACAGCTGCATCCACAAAGTAAGGTGCCTTGGCACACATTTGTGGTGGTCTTTTTGCTGGTGCAGCCATGAGCTTCATGACATTCCCTTTCATAACCACACATAATACCACACAGCTCATTAGGGATGCTCCCGGACAAGGATGTGTTCGTGACGATTAAGGTTGTCAAGTTGGTCAATGCAAGGAGCTCTGTAGGTAGAGTTCCAGACAGGACTGTTTCATGCAGTTGTAACTCCAGAAGGTTGGACATGAGACCAATCTCACTTGGAATTGTGCCAATGAATCTATTCCCATTCATGCGTAGCCGATTTAATGCGGTCAGGCTTGAAAACAAGCCTGGTGGGAGCTTCCCCTCTAGCTGGTTGGAACTAGTGTATAGCGAAGTCAAGTCTGTATGAAAAGAGTATGGTGAGCTATAAGCTAAAGGTTTTGCCAAACATCCCTGACCAGAGGACTTACTTCTTAGCCTTGATAATTCTGGTGGGAGGTGTCCTGTAAGAGAATTCTCCTTTAGTGTTAGAGAAACCTATGAAAACAGATCAAGGGTGGCAAAGAACCGTAAGCATATCACATGCTACAACGCCGGCCAATCTGACAGCTTTACTTACTAGCTGTGTCAATTGCCCAAGTTGGCTTGGAATCAACCCTATAAGGTTCCACTCATCAAGAGACAACATCCAAAGATTGGACAACCTTGCAATTTCAGCTTGGTGTGCAGAGTTTAGTTAAATTTAGATAGATGCCTTTTCTGGTACTACAAAAGATGACTTACTGGGTATTCGGGCATTGACATCATTAGCATTGTTGTTAAGCAGGAGAAACTCAAGTTGGGGCATGCTTTCAACAACTTTGGGCAGAACTTTCTGAGAGGCTAGTCGAGGACAATCACTTATTCCAAAGGATGTCAAGTTTGTTAGTTGGAATAGTTCTGAGGGGACTGTGCCTGGTAAGGGTAGACAGAGTCCAGTATATTAGTGATGACAATTGCATGCCAAGCTGAAGGACGCAAAGTAGAAGTGTACCTGTCAGCTGGGTCATGCCCAGGAACTTCAAGTTTGTTAGGCAACCTAAATTGTCCAGTTCCGTAGGAACAGTTCCGCATATTCCAGCCCCCCCAAGCTCAAGCGACCTCAAATCTGACAGGAGACCCAGCTCTGTAGGAATTGTTCCTGACAGTTCTGTGTTGAATGTTTGAAACACTCTCAGCTTTGTTAGTAATCCGATTTCCGTTGGGATCTGCCCTTTCAATTCCATGTTCACTGCCAATGACAGAAGCTCCAAATCAGCACTCAAAAGGGATAGCTCTGGTGGAATGGTTCCATCTAGCTTGTTTCCATAAAAGGTCAAACCTTTTATATGCCCAGAATCATCACACTGCATGCAGTAGAGATTATATGATTGCTGTTCCCAGTTGCATTCATGAAATTCCCGGTCGAGCCAGCCATGATGATTCACCCAGAAGTCTCCCCTGGTGGAGAAGAAGAAGGTAGCCAAAGCAAATCTTTGGGTCATTCTCCATTTTGGATATGTTGCAAGTTTTGTTTTGTTGCTGACTAGCCACTCATATGCTTTGGACTGAGGGGACCTTGGGTATTCAATGATGGCATCCACAGTGTAGTCAGGTAGATTGAGTGTTTCCAAAAATGGAGTTGGTGCTTGGGTTGAACCTGGAGATGCAGCAGGAATGCGGAGAGCTCCATCGTTAATGTTTTGCCTTGATTCACTGGTGGTACTGGTGCCTCCATCTGTACTGATGAGGAAAATCACAAAGAACATGAAAATTCCCAGCAGAACCACATTGAGCTCAAGAGAAAAACCAAGACAGATTCGTTGTCGCCAGTAAGGTGTTCTTCTTTCGAAAAATACTTCAGCACTGGGCAGTGATTCTGTGTCCTGCACATCCACGTCACTGGCAACAGGAAGATTGGTAGGAATGCTGCCATCATCGCTCTGCCGGTTCTCTGTAGTAACAACTTCATCCCTTTGGGTGTTCTGACGATAGGTTGGGAAACCATCCATATGAAATGCCCCTGGGACGCTGCGTTGTGGGGTCCTTGCTGGAATAGGTTCTGGTAGCTCGAACAGCTGCTCGAACAGACCCGGAGAAAATGCGCCTGCTTCGGCAGCTACTGCTTTGCCTACTAATTCTCTGTTGTTGGTTCTTTTATTTTGAATAATTTGGATAAGTTCAACAGAGCCAGCAGCAGATTGGTCAGAGCTGATAACATCAGTATTAGCTGTGGACTGTGTGAACACCGACGACGAAAGCACAATGTCAGCCCCTAAGTGTCCTGTGGAATATTCTCGGCTGGCATGTGTGGGCAAGGGTGCTGTTGCCGAGCCCAACTTATTCCCCGGTGGGACATCTCATCCGGTTTAATTGGCGACCGCCTCAATGGGTTCTTGCTTGGATTCTAGCTAGTGCCCATGGGGACTTCATGCATCCTGTATGATACCAGTACAGTGGCATATTCCTTTTTCGCGGTGTGTGCGACTCAGTCATCTCATTGTTGTTCTGGCCCCTTCCACAGGATTCTGTGGCAAGTCAGGCTGACGTGGAAACAGCAACTTCACTACGTAATCATGAAATTGACTAACTAATTAGTAAATTTGGAAACGATTAAACGAATTATTCATTTATGAACATAAAATGTTTGAATAATTGGAAAAACATATCCGGAAGATACGAGGTCAAACGAGGATCCTTCCTCAGTTCCCCTCCCATTTGCCATTCATCACAGACCTCCTCCACCATGAGCACCAAGAAGACTAGCAGTAGTAGCAGTAGCAAGCTGTTACCGGCAGTATTAGCCATTTGTTCGGTTCTCGTGGTAGTCGTGGCGTGGTCCCTTCCCCAAATGATTCCTCCTCTCTTTGACTTGCATCCCCCACGGGCACATCCCAGCAAGACCATGGCGGCCATGGTGTATCAAACGCACGGCGATCCGTCCGTGCTCGAGTACGACACACAGCATCCTCAACCAATCCCAAAGGCGCATCAATACTTGATCCAAGTCCATGCATCCGCCTTGAATCCCTGTGATTTCAAGCAACGACGCAACCCTCACATTCCCAATTTTGTCAGTCCCGTGCCTCGTATTCCGGGCGCCGACATGGCCGGAGTCGTCGTGCAAACACCCCAGTCAAGCAATTCAAAATTCCTCGTGGGCGACCGAGTGGCCGCATTGATTCCCTATTGGGGCACCCCCTGGGGAACCATGGCCGACTATGTGGCCGTCGACGAGGCGCACTTGGCGAAACTGGGACCTTCCCTGAACTACACCGAGGCGGCGTCCTATGCCTTGACGGGGTTGACGGTGTTACAAAGTTTTGCCAATTTAGAACACGATGATAGTTTGCAGGGAAAGAAACTGCTCGTGCATGCCGGAGCCGGAGGTGTGGGCAGTTTTGCCATTCAATGGGCCAAACACATTCTACAAAGTGCGCATGTGGCCACCACGGCCAGTGCTCCCAAGGCGGAATTTTTGAAAGAGTTGGGAGCCGACCAAGTCATTGATTATCGAACCGAAAAGTTTGAAGAAATTCTACTGGACTACGATGTGGTGTTGGATCCCATGAGTTGGTTGTACGAAGACCGGAGTCTGCAAGTGCTCACCAGTGGAGGACACTATGTAAATGTCGTGGGGTCCGATTGGGCATTTGACGATGGCATCGAACGAGGCAATGGACCGACCACCTTGATCAATTTCATCACTTCCAAAGTCCGCAATTTCATTCAGCCAAACTCGACGCCCAAATACGGATTTGTGGGCGTGTCACCGAATGGAGCTCAGATGCAGCAAATTCTCGACGCCATGGAGAGTGGCAAGATTCGGCCCGTCATTGATCGAACCTATCATTTGTCGGAGGCCGCCGAAGCGTACCGGTACTTGGAGGAAGGCCGTGCCAAGGGAAAAGTGGTCTTGTACCATGGGGAAATGGTAAAGCAGCAGCAGTCGAACGCAGCAGAAGACGACACGGGCGGCGAAGAGAAAGTCAGCCACGAGGAAGTCGTTGCAGCTGACGAGGGAGCTGAAGAATCCCACGAAGAAAAGCCACAGTCAGCGACCGCAGAGCACGCAGAAGTTCAAGCCGAATAATCTACTCCCGAGAAACAGGACATTCAGTCCAATGAACAGGAAGATGAACAGCAGTACTACCAATTCACGATTACAGGTCAGGAGCATTCCAGAAAGTTCTGACCTGATGGGCGAATTTCTCAAGGATCAGGCGACCGATTTGGGAGAAACAGCGACTGATTTGAAAGAAGCAGTATCACCACATACATCGGGGGACAAGAATGGAGCCGGGAGCTCTCAATCACACAAAGGCAGAAGAACCTGTGGATACTATTCCTGAATCCATTGATGAGCAAACGAATCGAATCTTCGAACAGACGACAATCAAGAGATGCCGAGATACCATCCCTGAGTCTACGAACGATCAAACGAGTCTTGTAGTAGAAGACAAAACAGGAGAATTTTTTTTTGCCACTTGGGTGGAAGATCATACGGAAATGCCAAACGACCTATCCGTCGATGAAAGAAAAGCTGAACGATCGTAGACGAGCAGGTACCTAAACACACTAATAAAGATCTTGCTGGTTTCAGTGCTTTCTACAATGTGGCAGCTACTTTTTCTATTATGGAGTGCTGGGCCAAGTTACCACCAAATCAAAGGTGACCTTGTCGGGCTCTTGACCTTCCTCCGTCGGGTTTGCCTTGATCAGAGATGACTCCCAAGATCCATTGCCAACTTCAATCTGAAGCGCCAGAGGGATGGCAAGGGACAAATTGGAGGATTCCGTCTTGATGCCTGGCTTCTCTTTGGTGGCGCAGATCATTTCAAACCATGCCGAACCAGACTTTTCCGCCAGCATGCTGATACCAAGGAACCTCACGTGATTCTCCTCCAAATCGGCCATCGCTTCGCTGGCAGGTGAAGAGTCATTCAATGCCTTTTCAGGGTCCCAATTCAATACTTCCTCCGGGACTTCAAACACCTTGCCAATGTCCACAATGGCATCCTCCGCGGAATCCAATGCGACAACATCACTCTTCAAGGTGGATGATGATTGGTCAGTAGTAGTGCCTTCTGGACTACTGGGAGTGAAGAGGTACGCATCCACATGCTTGTTCGTTAGCGTCTCCACCAACAAATTTTCCATGGCTGGGTTCTTTTTTGTGTGTTCGTCCTTGTCCCACAAGTGTTCCCCCTTGTAGGCGGAAGAGAGGCTAATCTGCAAGCGCACCACCCCAAGAGTCGAGTTGGTGACTTTCAACACAAAGCAATGCAACTGAATGCCACCATCCTGGGCTTTGGAGCCATGTCGAATCGCGCGAACGCGGGGCACGACATGCACGGCACTGGAGTCCTACCAATCGTATACGAGAGAAAAAACAATTTTTTGTTGTGAGGGTCCACTCGTCGCAACAAAGAATACAGTAATATTGTTGTTTGTCATCGTACCTTCTTCCACCATTGCCCGTGGCCAGTTCGTAGACTGGAATCCCCTTCGAGTGGATTCAGTTTGGGTTTGAGCAAAATTCCCGGCTTGCCCTCTGCCAATTCCGCCCGACAACGTCGACTATTGCGAGATCGCAAGGGAATGGGAAGCGGCAAGAGGTCGGCCATGGACATTGTTGGGGCAGAATTCCATGCTTGCAATGCAAATGTGCTGACCCGTTGGCCTGCCAGGGCGGCATCCAACGTTTGTGGTTCTTCCAACGAGATATGCGTCAATGCTTGTCCACCGATCGCGTTTTGGACGTCTTCCGCCGAGGCCGTTTTCTTTTTTTGCAATTCTGTTTCTAGAGCATCCACCGACCATGGATCACCATCACGCTTGGCATTATTGATCTGGAAGCCTCTGGTAGTGGATGATTTTGGAAGTGGCTTTTTAACCACCGTTTCAAAGGCTTCTACCATTTTTTGATAATGCTCTTCGGCCGCACTGGCATGTCCACCCGCTTTTCGCTTTTCTTGCAGCATGGTAGCTAGCTGCGCCAGAGCTCCCATCACTTCGTCTTTAGTAGCCTCACTTTCGCTGGAAGTATCCACTTTGAGTCCACACGGAATCGAGTTCCAATCACACCGTCCACATGTAAAACAAAAGGTCGAATCTACTTTTTGACAGGAGACCATGGACATGCAGAGGGGGCATTGTACACACTCTGGCTTTGGACAATAGCCCAGTTGTGCCGCCGAAGAGGCGTCGTGGAAACCCATACTGTGAGGACAATAGGCACTGTCCGCTTGCGTAATGGTGGACGGTCGATGTTGACGGTCCACAGTCGACGAGAGACGGCGTGATGCTGTGGCATGGAAACACTCACTGAGCGGTGCCGGGTGGTCTTGATGGTCCACGTAAAGCACAAAGGCTGGATCCGACGTCATTTTCTCAGTTGAACAAGTAAGTTGTCGTTGTTTCGTCAAAAGAAATGATTAATGCCGGTAGATAATATGATATCGGGTAGATCTAACCAAAAAAGGACAAGGATCCTCCGTAATAGTGGACTTGCACTCGGGCCTCGAGATCTTCTTCACTTCCTTAGCTACCGTCGAAATGGGCAACAGAAGAAACAACAGCTGCAACAACAGAGCACAGAGAATACTCAGCAGGTACACGGCCCTCGGGTCTTAGTATGGGTATAATATCTTGAACCGAGATTGACGAAAGGTTACTAGATGGTGGATCTGATCTCGGTGAGGGTGGAGGGCAGCGAAGACAGCTTTGGAATTGAGGTAGGTGCGGTAAATAAACTTCTTTAATTCTATAGTGTATAATTGATAAATTTATAACGTTAACCCTAGGTTTACCGTAACTACCCATTGTTATGCAGCTTAACAGCAAAAATAATATAAACTGTAAAAATAGGAGAACGAAAGAATAAGGTCTGCTGCTAGCTAGGTACAGATCCAAACAGTACGGTAGTGCTGAAGCATGTACCCGTACGAGAGGGCTTTGCCAAGTTCGTTCGTGAAGTCTCGATATGGTCTGTTCAAAAAGTCTATGGATCAGCAAGCATGCACTAGCTAGGTAGCAGACCATGAAATCAACCTATAGTAGGCCGAATAAATAGCAGCGTCGATACTACCGTAGTGCCTCTTCTTCCATTATTGTTCGAGGGCGCAGTTCATCCCGCATCCCGCGTGCTGACTACCAGAACCCACATGCAGGATTTGTTGGTCGAATCGAATCGACACCAACTGGCTAGTAGCTAGGAAAGCTTGTACAACTGCATCCACTTTACAGCCGCTCTGCCATGCATACGGTACGGTACAACCACAGAAGCTCATGCTGGTTTTCAGCTCTCTTCTGGAAGCTGCATAAATCTTCCTCGTCAAGAAGGTCCTGCAACCCAATCGACCGAGGACTGCTCAAATGTGTGGCATGATGCGCAAGTCCATGCGTGCCATTTGAGTCCATGCACATAGGTTGGAGGCAACGTATCCCCACTATATGGCTATATAGCCAGCCAGCCAAGCAATAGTCACATATCATATATTCTCCGGGGCGAGTTGGGGTGGACATGGATATATTTTTTCTCTGGGAAATCCCGAATCATTGCAAAAGGGCAACGACGGGACCCCTTGCTGGTATCGTTGTCGACTATCATCCAGTATAGCTTGGTATTCTTGATACTGTTCGAGTGTAGCCGTTGGCAAGGAGGAAAGTTGTTGGAGCGTATAGTTTCGCAAGGCATCGGTCGATGTGGTTTCCAGACAAATCTTGGCTCCTTGTTCGGCAATTCGCTGCGACTCGTTTCTGTGTTGTTGGGCCCATTGCCATTGCTCAAACAAATCGGACAAGTCCGGTTTGACGGGAATATAATGTTCAAAGGGTCGAAGGTATGCATGCCACCAATCGACAAATCCCGTCTCGACTTTGAATACCAACGATCCGGCATCGCACAACTTCCATCGCAACGACGTCCAGGTGGTTCCCGAAATGCCACCAATATCCAATTGATAGCGAAATTTGATTTGTTCGCGTTGCGGCATGGTTTGTTGTTGTTGATTGGTAGAAGAAGAAGTGGCATTGAGCCAATAATGATTCCAGGGATCTTGTCCCATTTCAAAGACGAGACGACGGATCCAATTCATGGTAATCGAACCGCGATAGACAATTTGTTGTTTTCGTTCGGCAAAAGGTTTGTTCCAGGGAGGCTGTAAGCGCCGTACGCGATGGACCCATCGTCGACCATCGCCCCGGAGTTCGTACGGCGTCGGCAAGAGTCGAATCCAGGGATACTGCTGCTTTACAATAGCTTCGGGCAGAGTATGCGCCAATAGTGGAATGGGAGCCGGTACGGACCAATTGTATATGGTGTAGCGGGTCATGTCCGACGTGGGAAACAATGCCAAGATACCACTTCCCTTAATAATATGTGAAGACGGCAATTTCAGATTGGACAGGTAAAAGGGCCAATGAGCCGCTTCGGTATGGTTGCGAAATTGACATTGTTCCACCAAGGGCGGCAAATCCAACTGGCCACTTTCATTCCAATAGAGAATCTCCACTAAGCGACCATTGATGGCTCGCTTCACGTAGTCTCGAATGGTGGTGGTGGTAGTAGAGGTGACGGATCGTTGTTGCAGTACCGATGAAGTGCCCTGGAGCTCTTGGACGGCAGCCGATTCTGGCTCTGAGAGTACCTGTTTCCCAGAGGCAATTATCTGTTGAGAATTCGTGTCTCTTGTGCCCTTGGAGGCAGTCTCCTGATTTCTGGACGGAAGATTGTAGTCATCATTGGGTGGAACAGGAACAGTTGTTGTTTCATCCGAACAGGGAGAAGAGCCAAGGATCCCACAGGGCCGTTCGGTCTTCAACAGAGAATGAAACTGATACCAGCTCAAACCGCTGTACAGGAGAGCCATCAGGAAGAGGACTACATTATTGATGGGGATCTTGTGCATGATGATGGCAACAACATCGATGCAACCAAGTCTCTATATATCTTGTAGCTTCGTGCTATGATCAAAGCCGAGAGGAGCAGCTGCATGGTGGTGGCTCGTGGTGTCGGAAACAAAGTTGGAAGTTGGAGAGAGCAATTTCTTTGATCGCTGGAAGGAGCGATCAATAAATGCATGTTAGTCATGTTTCCACTGCCTTCTATTTCTCAGTTCCCTTTCTTTTGGTGCTTTCTTTGGTGCTTTCCGTTCTGCTGGCAACTATAGTATTGCCCTCAACGGACTGAGGGTCTTTCACACTTTTATCGCTGTATGTGTGTGGTGTTGTGTGTGTGTGTGTGTGTGTGTGTGTGTGTGTGTGTGTTGTTTGTGTGTTTGTTGCAGCTGTTTTGGTCACATAGGGGACACTTTCCTCGTTAAGGATAGGATTGATATTGTGTTTTTGTTGACACAGTAGTAGGGTAAGTTCTGCTGGCTATGCAGACTCGTAGTGTGTCCAGATAAACACGGTGGAGGTTTGGACAAAGACATAAGGGACATTTTCCTGTTAAGGATAGGATTATATTGTGTGTTCTGTTGGAACACAGTAGTTTGTACACGTGGGTACCAGTGCTGGCTGGCTATGCAGACCCACTGGTGTGTCCAGATAAACACGGTGCAGGTTTGGCCGAAGAAGTTCATTAAGGGTAGGGAATCAAATCTCTTTTTGACAGTTGAGGGCATCAGCCTCCGGCTGCTTGTTCTTATGATAGCTAGTATCACCAAAAACGTCGCTCCCAATGCCATTTCGATCTCAATGCTGCTCGATCCCAGCCCAAGCTGCTGTCAATCCTCGGTTTGCTGGCGACCATTGGAGCCAGGCTGCCAATCCTCGGCTCTAAGGCATGCAAGGATCAGGACTGTCAGACAACATTGACAGGAGTGACAGCCTGGTACCGTACTGGAGGCAACATGGCACCAGGAAGGCACCAGGTTGACGGTTGAACTTGACTTCACTCTTCAAAGTCGCGGTAGTCGCTAAAAAGTCGCCTAAGTCGCGGTAGTCGCTCACCACGACTTTACAACGACTATTTAGCGACTATATCACCGCGACTATCGCGACTTTCACGACTTTAGCGCGACTTTTCCATGTTATTTACTAGTAATCCACCGCGACTTTAGAACGACTATAAAAGTCGCGATAGTCGCGCACCGCGACTTTACCACGACTTTACCGCGACTTTAAAGCGACTATCGCGACTACAGTTTCCACCGCGACTTTGAAGATTTTGGCGACCTTCAACCTTCGTGAGACCTGGTGCCTTCCAGGTCATGGATCGAATTCTTGAGATTTCCGCAGATTTGTGAAGCCCTGAGCTGCATGAGAATGGCACCTTCCCACGGGAACTCCAGGTTTTGAGTGTATGACTTTTTGACATGGAATTTACAATTTGGTATATAGTTTAGCATTGCATTCATTAGCATTGCAATCATCAGCATGGATCACAGCTGCATCCACAAAGTAAGGTGCCTTGACACACATTTGTGGTGGTCCTTTTGCCGGTACAGCCATGCACTTCATGGCATTCCCTTTCATACCCACGCATAACACCACACAGCTCATCAGGGATGCTCCCCGACAAGGATGTATTTGTGACCATCAAGGTACTCAATTTGGTCAAGGCAAGGAGCTCTGTGGGTAGAGTTCCAGACAAGAACGTGTCATGCAGTTGTAACTCCACAAGGTTGGACATGAGACCAATCTTACTTGGAATGGCGCCAATGAATCTATTCCCATTCATGTGTAGACGTCTCAATGAAGTCAGGCTTGACAAGCCTGGAGGGAGCTTGTCCTCTAGCTGGTTGGAACTCAAAATTAGCCAAGCCAAGTCTGCATGAAGTATAGAGTATGGTGATATAAGATAACACTTTCTTGTCAACACATCCCTGGCTAGAGGACTTACTTCTTAGCCTTGATAATTCCAGTGGAAGGTGTCCTGAAAGAGAATTCTCCTGTAGTGTTAGACAAGTCTATGAAAAAGATCAAGTGCAGCAAAGAACTTTAAGCATATCACTAGCTAGAGCACCAACCTATCCGACATCTTGACTTACTAGCTGTGTCATTAGCCCAAGTTGGCTTGGCATTAACCCACTAAGGTTCCAATCCTCAAGGGACAATCTTGTAAGATTGGACAACCTTGCAATTTCAGCTTGGTGTACACAGATTAGTAAACAATCTAGATGCCTTTTCTGGTACAACAAAAGATGACTTACTGGGTATTTGGGCATTGGCATCATCAGCCCTGTTGGTTAGCATGATAGACTCAAGTTGGGGTATGCTTTTAATGACTTTGGGCAGAAGGTTTCCTGAGGCTAGTCGAAGGGAATCATATATTCCAAATTTTGTCAAGTTTGCTAGTTTGAATAGTTCTGAAGGGACTGTGCCTGGGAAAGGTGTACAGAGTCCAGCATATTGGTGATGACAAATGCATGCTAAGTGGCAACATACAGTCCAAGCGTACCTGTCAGCTGGGTCATGCTTATCAACAGGTTTGTAAGGCGACCTAAGTTTCCCAGTTCGGCGGGAATAGTTCCACATATTTTAGCCCCCCCAAGCTGAAGCACACTCAAATCTGACAGGAGATCCAGCTCTGTGGGAATTGTTCCTGAAAGTGCTGTTTTGAATGTTCGCAAAAGTTTCAGCTTTGTTAGCAATCCAATTTCCGTTGGGATCTGCCCGTTCAATTCCATGCTGACTATAAAATCCAGAGACTCCAAATCTGCACTCAAAAGGGATAGCTCTGGTGGAATGGTTCCATCTAGCTTGTTTCCAAAAAAGGACAAACCTTTTATATGCCCAGAATCATCACACTGCATGTAGTCAGGATTAAAAGAACGCTGTTCCCAGCTGCACTCGTGAACTTCCCAGTCAAGCCAGCCATCGTGATTCACCCAAAAGTGCCCCCTGGTGGAGAAGAAGAAGGTAGCCAAAGCAAATATTTGGGTCAGCCTCCAATTGGGATAGGTTTGAATACCCAGTTGGTTCTCCAACATCCATTCATAAGCCTTGTGTTGGGGAGATCTATGGTCTTGTAGAGCTTCCAAGGTGTAGTCGGGAAGATTAAGAGATGCCAGAAGGCCATGAATCGAACTTGAACTAGTTGGTGCTTGTGTAGCCGAGAGAACCACTGGAACCCTTACAAGCCCGTTTTCTGCGACTGATTGGCTGGCGCTTGCTCCACTCCCAATAATTTGATTTGCCACAACAAAAATCACCAGGAAAGTGGTCACACCAAGCATGCCAATAATCATTTCCAGTGAAACATAACACCAGAGTTTTCTCTTCCAGGCAGCTCTGTTTCTTGTGATGAAGGGAACTCCACTGGGGAGCAATTCTTCCGATCCCTGATGGTTGATGGGATATGCAACAGCTTGAATATCATGTTCCTCCCAGTTTTCACCTTCATTGTCCAATCCCGAAGTTCCATCTTCGTCTTGAAGAGGAGCGATGATCCCATCAACAGGATATGCTCCTGGCTGCAAAAACACTTCTGTGACATTTGGCATGCGCCTCAACGATGTCATAGCAATACTTGAAATTGGATTATTGCATTGCTTTTGGTCCACCATAGCGCCATTGAGACTGCTCAATGGATGCGTGACCCCATTGTGGGGCCTTGGGAAACCCAGCTCTTGAGCCTCTTCAGAGTCAATGGTCAATCTGGCATCAACAGCTCTTTGGGCTACAATTTCCATCAAGCCAAGACAATCATTCTCGTGACTACTCTTGGTATTATAATGTGGTCCAAGTGCTGTCAGATTCTCCCTTGGATGCCGATTCCCTATATGGTGGAGTTCTCTTTCTCTACAATTGCAGCTGTCTTCAACTGCTGTTGAAACCCTCTTATCCACAATATTCATCAGCTCAGAGTCGTCGCTGCGACTGTCAGTATTCATTGCCGGCCTTCTTTTCGAAGTTCTTTTTAAAAGTGTGAGAGTGGACACCAATTGGGAGAAGAGAGCATTCATATTGTATGCAGCGATGATCGCAATCGACGCGACGATCAACTAACTTGGTTTGAGAGGCAAATCAGCGGTACTTTCACCAGTGCGTTTTCTGGCAACCCATGCACGTAGAAAATGTACTTGTGCTACCGGTACATGTGCATGTACCGGTATGTCCTTCTGGATTTTTTGGAGTACGACCATGCACCGGTACAATGAACGAACCGCATGAAGGCTTGTTAAGTAGCTGTTAAGTACAGTAAGTCACTGTACGAAATCTACATGTTCCTAAAGTGAAGTTCGGCACATGAAGACTAATGCGTTGCCAAACCATTGAGTCCTAAAAGTACGAAGTATGTCATCCATTATTAAGCCCTGAACATGCCAACATGCCAACAAGCCAACAAGAAAGCACTGGTACCCTTTTGTAAGTCGACTCCTCGAAGTATGTATGCATAAGACAGAAACGTTTCTGAAAGTACCGGTATCGTAAATAAATGGCTGATGTCGCGCTTGCGCAACCAAAATCGTTCTTTATTGGTACGGTAAAACAGTACAGACTTGCAGACTGTACAACCACCTGGTACTGGCAGACCACATTTCGAAAATCTCGCCGACAACAGTGACGTGTCAGAAAACCAGTGCAGCAAGCTGCTATTTGACAAAGGTTTACTCCGAGCCCCAATACCACATGAAGCAAGGTTCAAGGCTCAGGTTGTGGAGGAGAACCCAACCAACCACAGAAAGCAAGCAGGAAACGACCCTTTGACTCGACGATTCAATGAAAGTATTTCGGAAAAGATTCGCTGGAGGGTTTGATATTGGTACATGTACGTACCGTGGCTTTGTTTCCATCCTGAAGAGGATCACGAATCGAATCGAATCTTTGCCACCCATGCCAATTAGTTGAAATTAAAAATGCAGTCTTATCATATGCTAATAAATTTGTACGAAGCCACATGCAATCCCAACAAAGCAAGGACATGTGCATTGTGCATTGTGCATTGGAGCCACTACTGGTACTCTTTTTAGCAGGTGCCATTTACCGATCCTTTTTGGTGTCGTCGTCCTTCTTGTTGGTGTTGTCATTGATGTTGTCCTTCTGTCCATTCGATTGGTTTACTGGTTTAAGGGCAGCATCAAAGCGTTTCTTGTATGCCCAAACAATGTAAAGTGGGGCCACATTCAACTCAACCAGACCAATGTACAAGAGGATCGGGTATCCAAGTAGCCGGGCCAGAATAAAGTTGAGGTCAGCCAACAAGTAGAGCAAAAAGCAATCCAGGAACCGTAGCTCAATTTGTTGGTGGCAGTTTGCTTTCAACTCGTGCTGGTGCTTGATGTAGTGAGTCTTGAGGGAGACACACAAGTAACAACACTGTGAATACGTGATGCATAAGGTGGCGACCCAGTAAGCTGTAGAACCAAACCACTCTGGGTACAAGAGCATCATGGTAATCATTGATTGATTCCACACGTAGGTATCCATCAAATGATGGACCAGAGGTGGGATCCATGCATTCCAGCGAAAGTTTTCAGTCTCGGGTCCAAAGGTAGAAATCGCCGTCTGCAAAAAGTGCAACGTGTACATGACCAAGCCCCACGTAATGGCAAAAGGAGTGTACCCGATAAAGTAGAAAAAGGGAGCAACAGAAGAAGGCGCCGAGTATTCCATGATCGCCTGTTGGCGTTCGGAAAGGCCGGGGACAGCCTGGTAAAAGGCGATACTGGCATCCTCCAAACGGCGTCTCTTGTTGGCTTGTCCTCCATCCTCTTGCCCCCGCTTTAGTGGTTCATGAATGCGAGAGTCATAGGGATCACCGCCCTCACGTTCCATGGTCATGTCTTCTTCTCGGCAATCATCACCCATATCTACCCTCTCGCCTTGGTTACGAGGGCTGCTTCTTCCAGCTTGGGGCTGCTGCTGGAACCCTCCTCCCCAGAAACTGGTAATGGCATGCCAAGCACCAACTGTGGGGCTGGAAGAATCACTTCTGGCAGTAGCACGCTCATCGTAGGACCCTTCCCTTCCTTCGTCTTCATCCATCCGTTCCGGCTCATCATCCATCCTTTCCCCATTGTTCAATGCCTGTTGGAGCTGCCACTGAGCCTGTGGCACCTGCAAGGTTGCATCTTCGTCCATCATGGTTGCTTTTTCAGTAAGAATAGAGAAGGAAAGACAGGCGAGGCAGATGGAAACACAGGTGAAGGGGCAACGGATGAGAGTCAGTTGGGTTGTGAAGCTTAGTTTGGTCTCACCGCCCTTTCGAACTGGATTGGAGGGAGAGCCCAAGTTGATCGAAGATCCAACTAGTGGCTTGTCGTAGCTTGTTCCTGAAGCAGTTCCGGTCCAGCACTTTTTCCATCGAGGATGTCCGAGGAAACCGCAAAGGAAAGCTGTACCGTTATGACATTGTGAAGAACATCTAAAGAACCTTGCTAGATGAGTGACGTATCTCGCTGAGAGCTTCGCTTCGTCACTTTTTTAGCTCATTTTTACAGCTTTTGCTCAGCAATAGTACAAACATACAAAAATAGTACACAGCTGGAACCATTTTCAGAAAGAACCCTGCACTGGCTGCAGAACAGTCTCGAGGGCGAAATAGCCTTGACAGTTCAACACAAAACAGTTATTAATACCGGTACAGTACCGTACACAAACGCACAGATTCGCAGAATGTAAACTGGGTGTCAAGCTGAGGACACCCAACAACACGTCATAAAGAACAACAGCAACACGATGACACAATGGCGTCGACCTGCAGCAGCTAACAATTGATCGGCCGCTACAACTGTTACGACTGTACGGGGTAAGCCTGTTATCCAAGCTTGGCCGACAAGAGTGGTGTTGGATCGATCGATCGAACGGCTGGTACGATACGAGGTAAGCCTGCCTATTATGAAGAGTGTTACTGAAGGAAGCCATCCCTCATTATTTCTACAGGCATGGGCTGCGGGAAGGCAGTCAGATCTCTGCCGTCAACAGGTGAGTTATCCTTTAATTATTCGAGTGAGTCGATTGATCGCACCTCTTCTATCAAGCCTCACTCAAGCCGCTGTCTCTGGTGCAGAACAGAAAACCATCCCTCGTTGAATCTTATGGACCGTGGAATGTCAGTCAGATCTTGGCCCGTGGCAGTCAAGTTGGTGGAGTTTGAAAAGAAGGGTAAGTCTCTGGTATTCTTCCGTATCAGAATAGAAGATAATTCCATATCTATTTCGATCGATCGCGACGGATAACAACACAGAGGAGTGGCTGCTGACGATCGATTGCTACGGAGTACGGAGGAGGCTCTGTTAAGCCCAGCCCTATGACCAGCCCGAACGGAGGAGATCGTCGTGGAGTGAGTCATTGAATGGCAACAGTGGTCAACCGGAGGAAGAAGCTACATAACAACACGCAAACACATATGAGAGTGGATCCTCCTCCAGTGTTCTTTCCTAGTGTTTTAGTGGTGATTCCTGTGTCCTCGAGCTCAATTTCCTCTATGCACAAGTCCTCGAGCGACTTCTTTTGTACGATAAGATAGAGTAACTTGTAGCTAGCTAGTTAGATAGTAGAGCACCCTTACCAACCAACCAACCAATAGACGATACTTGCTGGTACCCATTGCCAACCGACACACCATACGAGTAAGCATTTCACTAGAGAGACACCTTTTCGATGGATATGAGAGCTACGGCAGGTATGGTTGGTTGTTTTCCTTGGTGGACACGAACTTGGTTGTTGTTCTTGGTCGACGACTTGGTGGATTTGGCCAAGTCCTCGATTTGAACGACTGGTACCTACTGTACAAGGTGAGCCTACCGGTGTGTCAATGCTTCATTCCAAGCTGCAGATTTGAAAGCCATCCCTTATTTACTTTTCTTTGTGTTGGCGCCCCCGGAGGGAACTCATGTTGTCAGTGTCGCAGATGATCAGCTTATCTACACCCTTGCATGCCAGCTGGCTGAGGCAGGCAGTTTTCGGTTGTCAGATGCCGTGATAGTGGGCAAGACTATCTCGTCCCGTTATCAAGCTTGGGCCTCGAGCCCAAACCACTTCCAATGTAATATTTGCAACAAATACGTTCCTTTTGCTGAAAATTAAAATTTATCAACAGAAAGGTTAATATATTCGTGTGAAGCCACATGCAGTTCCGATAAAGCAAGGGCATGTGCATTCCGGCATTTGAGCCACCACATGTCCCTTTAAAAAGTCGCCTTTTACTTGTCCTTCTTGTTGTCCTCGTCCTTCTTGGTGTCATCGTTGTTCTTTTGTCCATCCGATTGCTGGTTTACTGCTACTGGTTTGAGGGCAGCATCAAATCTTTTCTTGTATGCCCACACAATGTAAATTGGACACACATTGAACTCGACCAGACCAATGTACAAGAGGATCGGGTAACCAAGAAGGCGGGCCAGAATGAAGTTGAGGGTGGCCAACAAGTAGAGCAAGAAGCAATCCATGAAACGTATCTGAATTTGGCGGTGGCAGCTTGTTTTCAACTCATGCGTGTGCCTCATAAAATGAGCCTTGAGGGAGACGCACAAGTAGCAACACTGCTGACACATGGTAAAAAATACGGCACACCAGTAAGCTGTAGAACCAAACCACTCGGGGTACAAGAGCATGACTGTAATCATGGAATGATTCCACACATAGGTATCGATCAAATGATGGGCAAGAGGCGAGATCCAAGCCTTCCAGCGCAAGTTTTCAGTCTCGGGTCCAAAGGTTGAGAGCGCCGTCTGCAAGAAGTGACCCGTGTACATGACCATAACCCAAGTAACGGCAAAGGGAGTGTATCCGATAAAGTAGAACAAAGGAGTAAAGGTAGAAGGAGCCGAGTATTCCACAATGGCTTGTTGGCGTTCGGAAAGCCCGGGGACAGCTTGGTAAAAGGCGACGCTGGCATCTTCCAAACGACGTCTCTTGTTGGCTCGTCCTCCATCCTCTTGCCCACGCTTCAAGGGTTCGTGAATCCGCGAGTCGTAGGGATCACCGCCCTCCCGTTCCATGGTCATGTCTTCTTCACGACAATCGTCACCCATATCTACCTTCTCGCCTTTGTTTCGAGGGCTGCTTCTTCCTTGTTGTGGCCGCTGCTGCTGCTGGGGTTGCTGCTGGAATCCTCCTCCCCAGAAACTGGTGATGGCATGCCAAGCACCACCTGTGGGGCTGGAAGAACTACTTCGGCCACTCTCATTAAACGAATCTTCCCTGCCTCCTTCATCTTCATCCATCCGTTCCGGCTCGTCATCCATCCTTTCTCCATTGTTCAATGCATGTTGGATCTGCCACTGAGCCTGTGGCACTTGCAAGGTTGAATCTTCGTCCATCAGGGTTGCTTTCGAGAATAAAAGGAAAGACTGGTGAGGCAGAAGAAAAGACAAGTGAACCTGCAACTAAGAGTTAGGAGAGTTGTGAAGGTTGTCCCACTCTCCTTTTTATGGAGTAACGATCGTTGAGAGAGCTAGCTATCCGGAAAGAGGGTGAGCAAATAAATTGTTTCGAAAGATCCAATCGAGTTTCCCACCACTGCCGGTGTTCCGTTACCAAAACAAATCTTCCCCACTTCTCGTCAAATTTGATGGACAAAGATTTATTCTTGCAAGATGCAAGGTGTCAGCTACTTCAACACAGCTTTTTATTAATTAATTAACATCTCAATGTCATAGTAGACCGCAAATAAGTTGCGGGAATACCCGTACTGTTTTCGTGTATTCTTTTTTTCGAAGAGTTTGAAAAAGGAAGCATCGAATCGAATCATTGAAAATGAAGGAATGTACATCTAAAAAAGTTCTACCTGGCAATAGTAATTGATTAGATCTGGAAGAAGGTGGGAATTTGAAAGCTTTCTGGAATTCATTAGTTTGACTCAAAGAGGAAGATTAACTCAAACTTGCAATTGCACCATGATTCTCCGCAACTCCAACAGTTACCTAGTGCCGTACTGATAGAAGAACGCTGAGCTGTTGCAGAACAGCCTAGTAGCCTTCAGGCCAAAAGAAGATTGTTCAAACACTAAAACACTCTTCTCATTGAGTACGGTACTCGAGTACCGGATACTACAAAAACAATCATCAGTGTGCTTGTTTAATTATGAATAAAATGAATGGTTGAGTGGTCTGCTCAGTGAACGGATCTGTGACGTCATAAGTGCGCACAATCACAAGACAAATTCACGAGTCGAGTCGATTGAGATTCGAGTCAAGTCACGGTCTTCTGATCTTGTTGGATATCGGATGGATCAGAGATCAGAGCATCAGAGCAGCTCAAGCCCCAAGTTGACCATCGCTACTGCTAGCTACTAGAGTACATACTGTTGACTGTCGATTGCTCACCAGCAGCAAGCTGCGCTGATTCAAGGAAGCAACACCAATAATTGCAAGCTGGGCAGGCTGTCTAGCGCAATAATCTAGCTACCGGTAGGCAGCTGCCTGATGATGTTCAAGGGAAAGGGAAGTGACACCGGTACCAGTAGTGATTCAGTCCCAACATCCACTATGGGATTGACTGCCACAGAAGATTAAGGATTCCCACTGAAGGCACCTGATCCAGGAACCAGGAAGGCCCCTTCATGCGTGGTATTTTTAAAGTCGCGTCGGATCGCTGAAAGTCGCGTGAAAAGTCGCATGCGACTCGCACGCGACTTTCATACGACTTTACACGGGACTTTCAGCGATCCGACGCGACTTTGTCTTGTTATTTGTCGCAATTTGGCACGACTTTCAAAGTCGTTTGAGAAAGTCGCATACGCTTCCCGTGCGACTCGCGTGCGACTTTGCACGCGACTTTTATTGCTGTTAGAACGAATCCGGGACTAAAAGTCGTATGAAGAGGCCTTCCAGGAGGGACCATGTGCGAGTTTGAACCAAGGAAGAAACTAGATAATTCAAATCTAAGCAAAGTTGTAAACCAAACTACTTTCTACTACCCACCCATTACCACACTCATCCACAACAAGGGAAACTTTGTCCCTTGGCAAACAACTGTTTTGGTATTCTTAGTGTAACATCCATGGGATCCATGGCATTCCAATATACAAATTCCGGCACGTCATGTAGTTCTGCTACATGTACCTTATTCAGCATAAACAACTCTGATGGTAGCGACTTAGACAAGGAGATTTGCTTCCATAAGATGCAGTGACAATAGGCAAGCAACTTACTTATGAAACCCCTCATCGCAGTTTTGTGATTCTTCTTGTTTACCAAGGTTTGTGAGCTCCCAGCCAATTGCACTCATGGTTCATGGAGTTCCCAACAATCCAACCAGCCATGATGCTTCACCCAATGATCTCCTCTTGTGGAGAAGCAAGAAGGTAGCCAGTGCAAATCTTTGCCTCAACCTCCAGTCAGGGCGCAGTACAGTATGCGTCAAAAGTTGCTCGCTCCTCTCCGGCAGTCATTCACATGTGTGGTGTGGCGAGATCCATGCCTTAGTTATTGTGGTACCGGTATGGCCTCCATGGTGCAATCAGGTCGATTAAGTGCATCTATTTGGCACTCACAAAAGTGTCAGGTTGGTTGTTGGGATACAGGGCGCCCTTTTGTTGCTGCTGTTGTTTGATGATGTTTTGCCCCACTGGTGTCATGGTTGCTGATGGTCATGAAAAAACCCATAACAATCCCAAGTATTACAGCATTTCCAATGAACATCGTTTTCTTCCGAACCAGGCTCAGCTGCTGGAATTCTCCCCGTTCGGATTCCTCCTCGATTGGCTGGTGTGTCTCCACAAGACGCTCATCCATGGCAGCATCCAGAATGCTGCAGACATAACATCCATGTCAGTATTACCTGTCGTCAATGAAATGCGGGTCTTATCCCAGCCAAGACATAGTAGGCCCTGGATCCCACCGGTCTCTCTGACTCGTTCTTGTTCCTTGTTGCATGGCTTTACACACAGAGATGACAATGGCTCAATGCTATCAACGATATGTATTATCGGGATATTGAAAGAGGCTGTCGTACGGTAGGACAAAGGGCTAGCTGGTGGATCGGTACGGTACGGTTGCTCGACCATCGCCACTTGCTCATGATGTTTCGCCTTGGCCGCTCGTTTTCGAAAATTTCATCATCAGCAGTTTCGCCATGGGTGATGTACGGGTCCCCCCATGCAGCCAGCTGTCTTGGCACGCTGTTTTGAGAACGCCGACTCGACTCACTCCAGGATGGTGGTTGTTGACGACCACTCGCTCCGGTATCAAAAAATGCTACTAGCTAGACTAGCTAGTACAAGATGATGGGACGCTCGAGAAACAAACTGGATGATTTCATCTGCCGCACCTCTCCTGCATTGGAAACCGACGTGCAGATCGATGAAGTCAGGCGAAAGTATGTTGCTCCGTGCTCTTTGCTCGGTGGCGTGCACGCCTTATGCTTTTGGAGGGAGATGCTTCGATGCTTCCCTCTACCGACTTCAGCGGTGGTACTATAGTACGCTACGGTATGATGTCCCATGGAAACTGGAATATTCCAGCACATACTAGCATACACTCCTCAAGGATCCTACCAAAACCGGTACTCAGTTCTCAGTACAGTGTAACGGGAGTTAATATCGCATTCCTTGAATGCTGGATCTCTGAACTTGCTCTGAAGCTTTTTTAATTAATTCGTACGTTTAAAATCGGTTTTGGTCCATTGCTTTGAGACATCAGCGATACTATAGCAAAAACAGTACAACATCGGAAACCTTCTGTCTCACTCTCCATTCTCTGAGTTAATGGGACTCAATGTTGGACCAAAATATTTAGATATCTCACAAAAAGTATAACGAAAATCAGGTACACGTTTAACATAGAGTAGGTGATGTCGAATCATGTGGTCAGTATGGGTGTATGGGTAACATGCTACCGGTACTGTATGAGTCAATGGTACTTGAGGTCGATTTCGTATTGATATACTTATGGGTCAATCGGACATTGAGACAGTCATTTGCTTATAGACGGTTTTGGTCCATTGTTGGGCTGTAGCGCAGCTAGCGCTGTAACGCTGAAACGCTGTACTAGCTACGTGTCTCACCCACTTCCTTTATTAAACTCGTATTTATGCATACCGGTACCGGTAGTCTTTTGCCCATTGGTGTGCCCTCGCGGCCTCGCCCCAAAACTAAATTGCCACTTACTTATTGAAAGATCCCCAGACACGACACCTGGAGTTCCTCGGACATTTCAGTTGGCCAGTGGTTGTTTTTTGTGTTGAGCTGTGGAATTTTGTTGTGTCTACGTATGTGGCCATTGGCTAAGGGGGGTTTTAGAGTAGGGAAATTATCTACGGAAGCCAGCCGGGGCCAGGCTTAAGCAAAGAACAGTCGAAATTCAGGACTAGGTTCTGTGGGATCAGGGGCAAGAATAATCAGGGCAAAAATTGCGACCCAGACGGCAAAGGAGCGGGACCAAGGAACATAAAAATTCCACAGGCCATGAATCCGGCGCATGAAGAAATCAATTGAGAAGTAGGAAAAGATTGGAGCGCACAACTTTGAGGACACACTGAAAAAACAAAGGGGTGGAAGGAAACGCGATTGGACTCGAACGAATCTTTATATTTGGAAATATTGTCGCGTTCTTGTTGGTTAAAACTTTGACGGATCTTTGTTGCGGTATAAGGCACAGTCCAAAATCGGTGGACCACTAACGTCAAATAATTAGAGTAGTACCTCGTTCAAACAAGCCGGCGAATTGAAAGATCACTGGTAAGACTCGGTGGGCTGGAGGGGAAAGAGACGGGTGGGGAGAGAAGGGGAGGAAGGATAAATATTGGGTGACCGGCAGAGGATAGTAGGGGCGGGAGCAGAGGAAGGGGTGGTTTTGACTGGACGCTAGAGGAACAGAAGCATTCACAGCAAAGAGACCAAGTTCATTGCGGATTTCATATGGCGACGGATGATTAACCACCGCTTTGAAATCCAGAGCATGTGGAGAACGCTGAAGGGACAAGACAGCCATCACAAAGAGCATGGAGAGCTGGGGGGGTAAGACGAACCGGAGAAAGAGAGAATCACGCCATTCTTGAGCTAGAGAGGTGAGTGGCGTTTGGAATATCGGGAATGACTGCAAGCCAGGGCACAGTGCAACGACTGCGATTGAGCGGGACTGCTCACCGGAGTGGAGTGGCTTGATGGTTCGAAAGCCGCTTGGTAGGTCTTGATGGCTTGGTTGCGCTGATACGACTTCTTTGAGGGCTGTGCGATTGTCTTCATTCTGAAGCGATAGTGGCGGCCTCAAGGAAGGGGGCAGGGTCCGTGAGAGGGCTAGGGGGTGAATAAGGGCAAGGGGCATAGCAGGGATCGGTGTAATTCCGAAATTTCGCGACTGTCAATGTAGCGGAGGGGGGCTTCCGTAATGGTGTTGGGGAGAGAAAGGCCAGCAAACTTGTATGGGAGGGAAGTGAGAGCTCGGGTGGGTAGTTCGCTTGAATGAAGGTTCCAGAGAGGGGGGAGAAGCTCAAAATCCAGAGCATTTTCAAAGGGAAGCCAAGAGTCCGAGGGGACACGACAGACAAGTTGCACAAATTGCCATTACATTTGGAGAGACTTTTGTCAGGCAATATAAGCCGACGGGGGGTAGAACTGAGCCACTTCACAAAGAGATTGAATGCAGGCCGTCCAAGTTGTGATTTTGGAAGAAAACCAGGAGGAAAGGGCGTCAGGTTCGACGATATGACCACCGAGAAATCTTGCACCATTGGTGACTTTGAGATGAGAGCCGCGGGTACGCGTAAAATGAGTGGTGGCTGTGTGAAAATATGGCACTGGTGAGTAATAATTTGCATTTTATTGGCTGAGACAAAGTTAGCCGCATGGTTGCCGAGCCGAATAGACGTCTAGAAGCACATTGTAAATCAGTAAATTTGCGGCAGATGGCATATCGATACCAAGAGAGATCAGAAGGTGAGGGAACTCATGTAAAGCCGTTTAATGAGAGAAGCTAAGGCTAAACCGTAGCAGTACATGGCTAAAGGATCACCTTGCACGACTCCAACAGCGCTGAGGATAATGTGAGCTGTTCCAGCGGTGGAGTCGTGAAAAATAACAAGGGGCCAATGTTTGTAACTGTTGAAGGTAAAGCGGGCGCCTTCGGGCCAAAGATGGCGAACTGTATAAAGTATGGCAGTTCGATTCAATTCGTTGAAGGCTTAGAAGCATCTATAATAAGGAAGCCAAAATCAGAGTCGAGACTGTCAGATGAGCCAAGGTGATGATACCAAACATGATTTGCCGTGTGTACGGCACCTTCAATGCCTGCTTTCAAACCAACGGAAAGCTGAGAAGTGCCAGCTGCTGCAGCCGCAGCGGGGCCAGCAACAGCGAGGACACATTTGGCAATGTAGCGTCGTTAAATGTTACCAATACCTATGGGGCGTAAACCGGGAAATTTATCGAGAGCGATGCCGCGATTGGCATTGAAGCTCGGATGGCGGCCCAAGGAACCAAGTTGTTGGCTTGCCATTGGCAAAGAGACCAAACGCAGCTCGAAGTTGGGTACTAGCTCGGCGATAGCGAAGGGCCAATTTTTGAGAGTTGGACCATCGGTGCCGCCTAGGCCACAAGCACCGATAGTTTGCCAGCAACCTGTTCAGAAATTTCAGGGGTAATTTGAAGATCTACAAAGGCTGGTGGGGAGCATCGAATTTGGGAGCTGGGCTAAATTAATGAGGGGTTGGAGAGGGATGCTTGGATTTGAAATGTCCAAGACAGACCGCTCGTGTCCCTTGCCGTCATCAGTGTGAGCTGTGGGGAGGAGCACGCCGAATTGTTCACGTGCAGTGATAAAGCGACAGCTCGGCGCACCTCACCTTGAAGCATGAGATGCTGAAAGCGGGGGGCTCGTTGTTCTGGTGTGCTGCCGCGGCGATCGAGAGGAAAGACTCCATGGCTTTGTGACATTCGGTAAATGATTCATAAAGACCACTGTCCCATTGAAAGACGCCGATCAGCAGTGGTTTGATGTCGCGGTTCCGGCGAACATGAGGGACCTTTTGAAGAATGACCATGGAAAAATCAGGGGTTTTTCCCAGTTGTGACTCGGTAGACGACACCTTCAATAAAGCAAAGGTTCCGAGAGCTTCGGCAAGAACACCACCGGGAAGATGGTATTGATGGGGAAGGCATTGATATAGACGTTGTAAATAGGACTGCCAGAGTTGATCGGTTATGGGATCGATGCCACCATGAAGGTGGGTGCCGTCATTCCAGTGGACATGGTCACCATAAAGAGCGTCTAGACTGTTGTCGGCTGTGGTGGGAGAAAACCCGGGAAGATCACTATCAGCGGGAGCATAATCAGGAGGCCCGAGAGGAGGAGGTGGAGCCGGCACTGGGGTGTTTGGAGTGTTGAGAGTGCGCGGCTGTGGAGTAGTGGAGCCGGGCGTATTGGGAGTCCGGCGCCGGGGACTTCGCCGTCGGGGAGTGCTGGCAGGAGGAAGCTGGGAGGCAGGAGTATTAGTGGCTGCAGGAGGCTGGGAAGCAGAAGTAGGAGTGGTGCTGATGGAAGCTAGAGGAGATTGGGTGGCCAAAATTGGAGTGGCTTGATGGTCGTTGTCGACCGTTTGGTTGATATCAATAATAGAAGGCTGTGCTCTTTCTCTCACACTTACTTGTATGGAGAGCTTCCCTCCCCAAAAGAAGGGTCAACAATGAACACTGACAATAGCAGCGACAACTTGGAGCTGATGAAGATCGTTGCGGGTCAAAGGATTCCAGCAGCAGCAGCAGCAGCAGCAGCAGTTGAAGACAGCTACAATTCTCAAGGAAGAAAACACCACCAAGCAGGGAATCGACATTCAAGGGAGAATCTCTCTGCACTTGGTCCGCTTAATGATACCAAGAGTACAGGTAGTCACGAGAATGATGGCTTTGACTTGATGGAAATTGTAGCCCAAAGAGCTGCTGATGCCAGGGCGTCCATGGACTCTGAACAGGCTCAAGAGCCAGGTTTCCCAAAGTCCAACAATCAGGCCTCACACCCACTGAGAAATCTCACGGGTGTTATGGGGGAACAAGAGCACGACAATATTCAAAGCTCCAGTATTGGAATGACATCCTTGAGGCTTGTGCGAAATGTCATTGCAGAGTTTGTACAGCCAGGAGCGTATCCTGTTGGTGGGGTCATAAACCATCTTCAAGCACAAGGTGGAGCTTCGAGATCAGACAATGAAGACGACAACTTGGAGGAAGAAGATATTCAAGCTGTTGCGCATCCCATCGACCTTCAGAGTTCAGAGGAATTGCTCCCCAGAGGAACCCCCTTCATAGCAAGAAACAGAACTGTTTGGAAGAGAAAACTCTTGTGTTATGTTTCGCTGGAATTGAATATTGGAATGCTCATTGTGACCACTTTCCTGGTGGTTTTTGTTGTGGTAAATCGAACTATCGGGAGTGGAGAAAGCACCAGCCAATCAGTCCCAGTAGACGGGTTTGTTAGGGTTCCAGTGCTGTCCGCACCCACACAAGCACCAACAAGTTCGATTGATGGCCTCCTGGCATCTCTTAATCTTCCCGACTACACCTTGGAAGCTCTACAAGACCTAAGATCTCCCCAGCACAAGGCTTATGAATGGATGTTGGAGAATCAACTGAGTATTCAAACCTATCCCAATTGGAGGCTGACCCAAATATTTGCTTTGGTTACCTTCTTCTTCTCCACCAGGGGAGACTTTTGGGTGAATCATCACGGCTGGCTAGATTGGGAAGTACATGAGTGCAACTGGGAACAGAAGCCTTTGGATCCAACAACTCATTCTCCCGACATACAATGTGACGATTCTGGGCATATGAAAGGTTTGTCTGTTGTTGGAAACAAGCTAGATGGAACCATTCCACCAGAGCTATCCCTTTTGAGTGCAGATTTGGAGTTTCTGGATTTTTTGGCGAACATGGAATTGCAAGGGCAGATTCCAACGGAAATTGGATTACTCACCAAGCTGACAGGTTTGCGAACATCCAGAACAGCACTTTCAGGAACAATTCCTACAGAGCTGGGTCTCCTGTCAAAGTTGAGGTTGCTTCATGTGGGGGGAGCTGGAATCTGCGGAACTGTTCCCACAGAACTTGGCAGTTTAGGTCGCCTAACACACCTGGATTTCATGATCATGACCCAGCTTACAGGTATGCTTCTACTTGTGTTGCAACTTGGCCTGCATTTGTCATACTAATATGCTGGATGCACTACCATTACCAGGTGCAGTCCCTTCAGAACTACTCAAAATAACAACCTTGACATTTGCTGGAATTTATGATTGCCCTCAACTATCCTCAGAGAAACTTCTGCTCAAAGTTGTTGAAAGCATGCCCCAACTTGAGTTGCTCATGCTAATCAACATGGCTGATGATGCCAATGCCAGAGTACCCAGTAAGTTATCTTTTATTCTACCAGAAAAGGCAGCTAGATCTTACTAATCTCTGCACCAAGCTGAAGTTGCAAGCTTGTCCAATCTTGCGGTGCTGACCCTCGAGGAGTTGAACCTTAGAGGGTTGATTCCAAGCCAACTTGGGCAAATGACACAGCTAGTAAGTAAAGCTATCTGATCGGCTGGTGATCTACTGGTGATATGCTTACAGTCCTTTGCCATCCTTGACCTTTTTGTAGACTTCTCTATCCCTAAGGGAGAATTCTCTTTCAGGATACCTGCCACCAGCATTATCAAGGCTAAGCAGTAAGTCCTCACGTCGGTGATGTTCTGAAAAGAAATGTTAGCTTCGTTTACCATGCTCTTTTCATGCAGACTTGACTTCACTATACACGAGTTCCAACCAGCTAGAGGGGAAGCTCCCACCAGGCTTGTTTTCAAGCCTGACCGCATTAAATAAGCTACACATGAATGGGAATAGATTCATTGGTACCATTCCAAGCGAGATTGGTTTCGTGTCCAACCTTCTGGAGTTACAACTGCACGACACAGGCTTGTCTGGAACTCTCCCTACAGAGCTCCTTGCCTTGACCAAGTTGACCACCATAATGGTCACGAATACGTCTTTGTCTGGGAGCATCCCCGATGAGCTGTGTGGCATGATGCTTGGTTATGAAAGGGAATGTCATGAAGCTCATGGCTGTACTGGCAAGAGGACCACCACAAATGTGTGCCAAGGCACCTTACTTTGTGGATGCAACTGTGCTCCATGTTCCAATGCTAGAGAAGAAGGCTGAGTTTTCTCCGAATCGAATCAGTTTGAGCCACCGGAACCTATCCCAACAGACCCCACAAAGAAGTTTCCGGAACATCGCCATCTGAACTCCTTATGAGACTATTGTTGCTCTAGCAGTGTGGATTTGTCTTTGCCCCTTCATAGGAACAATCATTTCTACCGGAGTGAACCATTAGATGTATCTGGGGTGGGGGGACTACCGCCTGGTGAACAAATTGGCTTAGTCTTTTACGTTATATCTTGGGTTGACCCAGCGAGGCGTATCACTCGTCTCAGTGCGCCGTATTACGTCCAACAACAAAGGAGCGTGCGTTGATCCTACTACCTTCACCTTGCCGTTTATTCCGTTTGGAGACTGTCACTCCTCCTCCTTGGGTCCATCGAGGCGGCTTGGATAATAGGGTCGTTTGCGTTTTGGAAGAAGAACGCAGAGGAGGCTTCCTCTTCGTTTCCGTCCCTCCAATGGGGGTCTTCATTTTCCTGCTTCGATGTTGTTCCAGCAAGCCCCGGGCTACCCGTTCTCGCTGTTCGGCAATGTTGCCCATGAACTCGACGTCCATGTTGCCCCAGCTGCTGTCTCTGGAATGTATTGGTTTGCTCCAGCCGTTGTCGACCTGCTTGGTACTGATATCGAAAGAGGAGGGATGCGTGTCGCAATGGGTGTAGTAGTCAATGTTACTATCACTCGAATGGAGGCGCTCGCCGCCAGCTCGGTCCGTGTCAATGCAACCCCAACTGCTGATGCTGGGGCTAATGCTAGCATTGTCATTGCTTTCCACTGGTTCAGGTTTTCGATGCGATCGTTTGTTGGCGGAATTGGAACGACTGTGAACAATGCGATCCGCTGACTTTTGATGATCCGGCGACACGTCAAGACCGGCCCAGCTGCTCAAGCTGAGGCTTGCATCGTCACTATGGGTTCGTTTCGCTTTGTGCTGGCTGCACATGAAGTTCTTTGATCCGATAAGACTCTTCATGATGCTGAATGGTAGATCCAACTGATCTCTGCAAACTGTAATGCGAGGAACGCTGCAAAATGTAATGAGAGGAAGAGATCGAGATGAAGCGGAATCAAAGCAATCTAGCTAGAATGGATCGAGGTCAAGTGAGTCAGTCATTCGAGCTGCTGGATCATTGCCGACTGGATCACCATGGCCGAAGGATTTAATCTCATTGCATCTCATTTGGTTGGAGTGTGGTGTAACTGGCTCATTGACCTCCAAGTGGGAATCGCCATACGGACTTTTGACTCCCACGCAAGACTCGTTTTAGTCTTGGCCATTGGCCAACATTGGGAGTTGGCTCCAAAAACACTGTTTGACCTGCCAAACCACAAGAACGTGAAGTCCCTCGTATGTTACCAATGTAGTTTTTAAGAGCTAGACTACATCCGGCATCCTGAAAGTTGTGCTTCCTTGGGATGTTCCCCGTTCGCCGGAATGACCGAGTCTAGTATAACGAACAGCCTGCAACCTACTAGTATCCAGCTCAGTATGTCTCTTGCAGCCTGATTGAGCCAATGCTTGCGGTAAGGCCACCCCAAACGAATTATCCGCCACGTGGAGCCAACAATTGCCGCGTGTAACTGGGTTCTCGACTATCCCGGCGCCACCAGAAAAACCACAGAGACACTTCCACAATGGACGTTTCAAACAGACCTCCACATTTGCCGCCGCTTCCAGAGGGGGTCGTCTAGCTCGATTTCCTTACTTGACCTATCAATTAGACTATAATAGCTACGAAAACCCCAAGATTTTCTTTCTCCGTGGATCCGACTTTGGCAGCTTTTCACAAAAGGACTTTTTGGCCTCGGTGGTCCATACGGCTCCGTGACGGCAAATGAAATCGAGTGCCAGCTGGCCGTCTTGCGATGGCAGCAACAGTACGTAGCGCAACACCCATGCAATTCCCGTTTGCGTGAATCGTTCACGAGGCGATGTTAGGAGATTGGCTTCACAGGCTCCCATCAACTGTGCTCCAAAGTCGGGGGGCATTGCGTCTGAATGCTTGTGATACTGCAAGAAGGGCACAATACCGCATCGTCGCTGCCATAGAGATGCCTGTGAAAGGTGGGCATAGTCAAAAACTCGTTGCTGGAGGGAATTGTCGACGTGATCATGAAACACAATCTTGCCCAATACCTTGTTGGAGAACCAATCGGCAGTAGACCAATCCGAAATGATGGTTGGATCCTTCCATAGATCCCGATCAAATCGATCCAGAGTCTCATGGGAAGCCAGTAGTGGTCTTGGATAGTGCTCTGAAAGCAGTATCATTCCTGCCAATTTGGCATCGCACGCTTGGTGTTGGAGTAAGCAAATGGCATTGTCCATCAGAATCGAGTCGCCAACAGGACTTTGTTTGGAGGCTGCTTTTGATTTTTTGGTCTTTCGAGTGCTCGCAGTCTTTCCTTCTTGTTGCTGCTTCAATATTTGCTGAATAGTAGATCGAACTACTGGCACTTTGCAACCAATCCAAATAGTGCCCTTGACATAATTGGTGAACCATGCCTTCGTCTTCTTGTCGGCCCGTTCGGTCAAACCCTGCAGGATTCGATCGGCAAGGGGATCATCAGCATCATCATCACCATAATCAGCGGTGCTTGTTATTGGAAGGCCCCTTTTCTTGGCGTTACCCTCGGGAGCTCCCTGTTCACCATCACGGCTGTTGGTACTATTATTAATAGTAGGAGAGGTTGAGCTGACGAGCCTTTGGCTCTTGCGGGTGGCGACGGAATACCGAGTGGATGGCGCCATTATAAAGGCGTGTGCTGCAAAAGATCTTTGGAAAGAAGGACGAATATGTAAGCAAGCATTCAGCAACAACAGCGATCTCATCCGAACCAGAAATGAAGAGGACACCAGGACCCACCCCCTCCTCCATCGAGATAGTATTGAATCGGGTTTACTATGGATGAGAGAGAGCTAAGATGAGGATGGAGACAGAGGTCAAGGGGGGCACGACGCAGGAACGCAAGGCAGGCAATCAAGTGTGCAAGCAGGGCAACATGGAAACCAAGGATAGGGGTGAAGGCAGGAGGGCAGGGAGGAGCAAAGGAGCAAGCCATCGAGATTGGGTGCGTGGGTGCACCTTCAAATCCTCAAAACTTGCTTCCGACCAGTTTGCTACCGGTATTGTTCAAGGGAGTTCGCCAAGACTGTAGCTGAGACCCAATAGATCACCTCTCTTTCTGCATGGCTACATGTAGCTACCGGCCTCATGAACCGTCATGGTCAGGGATATTGCCTTGTTCACCCTTCTCGTACATCCCCTATGCTGGTATCTAGCCAGCTAGTCTATCGCTAAGCCGAATAAAAATGAGATCATTCGCAAGCATGAAGCAACATCTCAAGACTTGAGGCTGGTCTCATCATAGCTGCCAACGAAGCAATACTTTTCTTTCCTTCATATTGAGAGGCAGAAAAGCTAAGCTCTTATGGCCCACCCTAACGAAGTTTGATCTAGTTCATTGGCTGTGGTCCCATCATTGTAAACACAAGTGGAAAGGCTTTGGCATCATTCCTCAATAGATCAAGTGAGCATAAGCAATCTTGGCAACTTCTTCAGTGATGCCCCTCAAGGCAACGGACCTCCTTAAAATTCTAGGACCTTATGTGTAGGTTCGTTACTACACTCGCCACCCCCAAGAGTGGAGGCGTTAGCCTGGCAAACGCTTTTGTGCTCTCTTTATGCAGCTTTTCTGTAATCGAATCAACACCAGCAACGCAAAGCTCGTTTGCCCCATCCTGAGCTTGATCTAGTTCGTTGGTGGCTGGCGGCCACATTTTAAAAACATCATTGGAAAGGCTTGGGCACTATCCTTCAAGTGGCCACCGGCAAAGTTGCCAATGAGTGCCAACGGCAACATGCCTCCGATAATATGATCATGACATTTTTTAAGGCTTTGCTCCCGCAAAGCCAAACCCTTTGCCCCCCGTAATGGTCCTCAATTTCTTGCCCCTGATCCCACAGAACCTAGTCCTGAATTTCGACTGTTCTTTGCTTAAGCCTGGCCCCGGCTGGCTTCCGTAGATAATTTCCCTACTCTAAAACCCCCCTCATTCCTTCCATTGTGTACCGCTACATGTAGATTGTTGGATCTTGTGTGAAGCCAGCAGAGCCATAATATTAATACTAGTATTTGGAGGTGAAAGGTAAGGCGATAAGTACCTGCCCCCCCCTTTGCCCTGCTCCCGTCCTCGTTGCCCTCCCGGTTTGCCCCCAACCACAACAGCCATTGCTCTGCCTAGCTAGTTTAGTATTTGTTTCCCCTCCTGGTACCGGTACCCCTGCCAACGTGCCTCGCCGTGCAATATTCTATTCAGGCTTTCTCGACGACAATCGCGTGAACCACTATTTTGCATGACTCGACTCTATGCAAGGCCCTTGCTCTTTGCCGTGCCCTCGAGTTTTTAAAAGCTTCTCGTCGTGCTCAAATAGAGGCTTTCCTGATCGAGCTCTTCCACTATACTAGTATCCTTTGTCCTTCGATCCTCTTCGACCTCCTCCTTTGCCTCCCTTTCCTTCTTTGGTTGTGCCATCGGCTCAGTCCGTTGCTCGGTTCCTGCCCGACTCTGCTGAAACCCACCCTCGTGATCACCACAGTCCACTCTTACCCCTGGATAGCTAGCTAGTAACTTCTCTGTCGCATTGGACAACATCAGCAGGGATGCTAGAAGAAGAAAAGAATCGTTCGAACGAGAAGGAGGATTCTGGGAATGCTGGCGACTGTCGAAACGGTACCAGCGATGCCGAGAACACGAGCAGAATATATGATCCACTTGGCCCTGCTGTGAGGGACGCCCTTATGAAAAGGGCCGCGGCAGAGCCTTCCAACTTCCAACAATGTCAACAACAAGAACACCATAAAACTACCAAAGAAACTGTCAAGAAACTGCCAGCCAAAAAGACCCCTTCGTCCACAACTTGTAGTACCAAAGGTAGAAGTTCAAATAAAACCCAGCGGACAGCCAACCAGCCGAAACACCAGCAAGCTACCACAAGAGAAACCAATCAAGACGAACAAGAACCGAAAGAAGCAGAAGAAATCATGAAAATTGTAGCAGATCAGGCGAGTTCGGCTGCTGTGGAATATCTCAAGAATGCCAAACAACAAGATTTCCATGAGCAAGAAACACCAAGCACGCCCAACAACAACCATCTCCTGCAAATTGCCGCAGAAATCAATGAAGCTGCCAAACTGGAAAAATTTGCCGCCAAAGCCCATCCCACAAGTGCCAATCATCCCCAAGCAAGTGTTTCTGACAATGGCAATGCCAATGGTAATATGGATTCTGCCATGATTGCAGTTACGGGCAACAAATGTTGTACCAGCAACACTCCTCCACAAAGCCACCAGCTGTCATTTTTCCCAAATGAAAAGACAGGTGCTTATGATTTGCCTGTGGCCAATTCTCGGAATGCTGCAAATTCAATTGGACAAGGTGAAGGACTTAACCGACAAAGTGCAGAACTTGCAGAAGTGCTACCAGCAGCATTACCCGAACCTATCCCACTACAGCGACAGCACCAGCACCAGCACCAGCACCAACACCAACAGATGTCGAGACCAGGGGCCTACATGGGTGTACCGGGAGAAGCCTTGCAACGTGCAACTACCCTACGATTCTCCCTTGTCGGCGCCAGGGCCACTGGTCAGGGTCTACCATTAGTGCAGATTGGTGATGCAGACAACAATCCCCCTGCACTGGCTGAACCACATGAGATGGAACAACCCAGCAGCAGCCCCACCACCACCACCAATATTCCATCAACAAATGACCCCCACTTGGCAGTTGCAAATCTTGTCCAAGAAGATCCAGAGGAGGAACAAACTAGGCCGTCTGCAGATCCGGTGGATCTACAGTATGTCCGACAGAGGGAACAAAAGAGGAAGAAACAGCAGCTGATGTTTATTCTCTTCTTTGTCATGTTGTTAATTGTGGCAGCAGTAATAGTGGGAACTGTGGCAGGAACCCAAAAGAAGGAGCCAGATGTGATTGTCTCCCCATCAACAGATGCTCCAACAGTTTATGGCTCCATGACTCCTTCTGACATACCATCATCTGCCCCCACTGGGGTGCTAGACCTACTATTCAATACTCTCCCGGACTACACATTGGCCAGCATCAACAATGGCAGTGAAACCCCACAGTGGAGAGCATGGCAATGGCTAGCCAATCACCAAAACATCACTAACTTGCCTGAATGGAGGAAGGCACAGCTGTTTGCTCTTGCTGCGCTTTTCTATGCCCTTGAAGGAGAAAGTTGGAATCCTTTGATAAAGGGTCATGGATGGATGGATGACACTGTCGAAGAGTGTGACTGGTTCTCCAGTGGGTTTGGAGTTTTTGGAGTTGCCTTGTTTGAAGATAATTTTAGACATTTATCTGAATTGGAAATCTCATACATTGAATCTCAAGAATCTACACCTCCCTGCAAGAGTCAAGGACAATTCACATCTCTGGATCTGCAAGACCTGCAGGTTTCTGGTCTTTCCCCATATTTGCCACCTGAGATTGCACTCTTGACTTCTTTGTCTCTTGTGTCTCTTGAAAGGTTGGGCAATGTCATTGCTGGGCCAATTTCAACTCTGTTACCAACAGAGCTTTATGAGATGACTGGATTGAATACTTTGTTCTTAATTGCCAATCAGTTGGCCGGTCCAGTTCCTTCTGAGCTAGGGCTCCTGACCTCACTGACCCAGCTTGGGCTCTCTATTAATCAGTTGACCAGTCTGATTCCTTCTGAGCTTCCACTGCTGACCTCATTGGCTAGTCTTCGGCTTGATACCAATCAGTTATCTGGTCCAATTACTTCAGAGCTTGGAATCCTGACCTTGTTGGAAGAGCTACATCTTGATTCTAATCAGCTCACCGGTCCACTGCCTTCTGAGCTTGGAAAGTTGACTGCTTTATCTGTGCTGCAGTTTCGTGGCAATCAATTGAGTGGTAAAATCCCATCTGAATTTGGCCTCCTGACTGCGTTGACGCGGCTTGACCTCTCTTCCAATATCTTCAGTGGCTCAATTCCTTCTGAGCTTGGGCTCCTGACCTCGTTGGAGTACCTCTACTTTTATGAGAATCAGTTATCCGGTCCAATTCCATCAGAGTTTGGGCTCTTGACCTCGTTGGATTCTCTTGACCTTTGTGATAACAGGTTGAGTGGTTCAGTTCCTTCTGAGCTTGGGCTCTTGGTGATTTATTGGCTTTCCCTTCATGATAATGAGCTTACTGGTCCAGTGCCTTCTGAGCTTGGGCTCCTGATCTCATTGGATGGGCTTGACCTTTCTGAAAATCAGTTTACTGGTTGGATTCCTTCAGAGCTTTTGCTCCTGACATGGTTGTGGGAGCTTTATCTCTACAACAATCAGTTCACTGGAACCATTCCGACTGGAATTGGCATGATGCCAGTATTGACATCTCTGGCTCTTCACAACAACAACCTGACAGGAACGCTGCCCAGCCAACTCAATGCATCTATGAACCTGGTGCTATATGGGAATCAGTTCTCAGGAGCTGTGCCAGAGCATCTTTGTTCTTTTCTATGGTGTGACTGTTCCCAAAATGAGACTCCCCCTGTTGCCACATGCGCTGACCTCCAAGAGGCTGCATGGGATTGGCCTGGGCGGTTTCCAAACAGAAGTGCTGATGTCATGCTGAACATATATACAGATATTTGGCCACACCAATTAGCATGGGTTTGGCAGAAGGAAACCAATGTGACTGGTATTAGGGACACATTGGAATCAGGTGGT